GCTACCTCTGATAGCTAACGTCAGCTAGCTAATTTCACTTTGAAATTTACGGCTGCGTCGTTGTGCCCCGCCTCAATTAAAGAGCAAAAACAGGTTTGCAACAAGTATAATGTATGTAAAATTTCATGTGCACTGTGCACAGTCAACATGAGTGTGTGGGGACTCATATTCGGCTTCAAAATCTGACAACCCGTGCGGGTAGTACCATCTGGTCCCATGGTGTAATGGTTAGCACTCTGGACTTTGAATCCAGCGATCCGAGTTCAAATCTCGGTGGGACCTCGTCTTTTTCTCTAACTGGAAACACAAATTGCACAGTTGTGTATGTGGACAAATAACGAACAGTACCTCCCAAATCAGTGTCACAAACCGCTAAAAGAAGCAGAGTATTGGTCTGGAACAATATCATCTACTTCCAAATTGCATAGAGAAATAAAAAAGTCAAATGAGTTTCATACTGCAGCAACACCTGTAAAAAGAACAACTTCATTGCAAGAACAGCTCATTTAGGCTTGTGGCATTCACCAGGGTCACTACCACTGAAGCAGCACTGTGGTTAATCAGATGATGATAGACTGCTCACCTCGACCTGCTATTTTCCATATATGATGATCACATGAATCCACCAACCTAAATGTGTGTGTATATTTATTTATGGGGTGCTTTTTTGGAATAGACTAGAGGGAGAAATCAAAGTTAAAACATCAGTTTAAAAATATGTACAAAACTTTTTGCAAGATACAGAAATGAGGACTGGGAGTGTAAATCACACTGATGGTGATGTTGTTATGGGTTTTTTGGGGGGTAGTATTTTGATTATTCATATATATATGAAAAGCACGAACAGAGTGATTTATTTGTTGGGATGGACTTATGAGATAGATTGTGTATTGATGGGTTACAATAGGACGCGGGGTAGGACTAGACAAGCGTTTTGCTTCTTTTGACTCCTTTTTGGACATAAGATGTTTATGTTGCCTATTGAAAATTTATAGAATAGAAAACTTTATTTATCGCTGCAGGGAAATTCAGCTGTCCAGCAGCTCACAAAAGACAAAAAACAACCACACTTCCCCTCATTAACAACAACATAGTGGTATTGTAATAGAAATACAATTAAATATATTAAAATAAGAGCATAAATAGAAATTTGGTTAAGATAAAATTGTCCATTCCATAGTCCAGCCAATTGTGGCTAATGTAATGTGTGTAAGTGTGTGTGTGTGACTGGATTCAGGAGGTGTTAAACAGTCTTATTGCCATGGGGACAAAGCATCCCCTGTATAGCCAAAAATACAGTGGAAAGGCAAATTCTGTCTCCAAAGTGACCCCTCTACTGTAAGCACTGCTCTGCCTTCTCTGCCTCACACCATGTCTACCATGCTCACACACTCTACTTAATTGTAGCAATATAAAATCTCCAAGGTGGGGCTCATTTTAACCAATAAATATACTGTTAGTTTATTCCATATTAGGCCATCACATTTTATAAGTTTATGGAAATTAAGTAATTTCACTCAGAAATACCACTCACTCTGAAAACCACAGGTTTATGTTCAAACAACTTTATTTCCACACATAAATGGCAGTTAAAAATATATATACAATAATATGCTTGAATTGAACATTTATTTTGATGTTTTATTGGAATGTTTTTCAATTATTTTTTTTTATAAGTCATTGAGAGCTGTTTCTCTACTGGGCAGCATTGGCAGAAGTGTACAGGATGGGATCCCTGTGCAGAATGAATTGAGAACCACTGCTCTTCAACAGAGCCTTCTCATACTCAGCTGTTTTCTTACCACAATAGTGTTTTATTCCCCACGCATCAGTGTAGCCTGCTGTATCCACACTGGAACATTTGGAATTCCCAGTATGTTGTGTGTGTGCGTGTGGATGCATCCTGGCAGAACACCAAAATACATGTGCTACGAGCTCACTTTCAAACATAAGACTTGCTCAGTATTCCAATGGAAACTGAAAAGGTGCTGGTTCTGTAGCCTGCCAGTGTACATACAGCACGATACACATGCAGTGGAAAAACTATTAAATTATATCTCTGTGAAATAACAGTGAATTTGCAGAAAAAAAGAAAATTGTAACAATATTACAAATCAAAGAAATAGCACAACAGACCATTTTAACAGCCATGACAATAATGACAGAACATTACAAAGCAACAGGAGCACTATAATGAAAAAGACATGACATCCTCCCCATGCAGACTGAAGTAAATAAGCATAGAAACACAACTGTCAGGCCAGAAAAAAACAAACAAACAAAACAATCAGTAACAGGTAATAACATGAAAAGTTTCTTGTTATAACAAGATATTTTTCACATTTTTACAATTTGTTTTCATATGTTATAATAAAACATTTTGTTGTTAAAGTAAGATAAGTATATGGTTATAAATAGTTCCCCCTTTTTTTTTAAACAACAAAAGTTTGTTGTTATGTAAACATCATGTTACAGTATGAAATTATCTTTGTTACAACAAAAAACTCGTCATGTTATTACCCGATACCAATCTTTTTTTTTTCTCCAGCTTGGCAGTTCTGCGCTTCTGTAAAAAACAGATGTAAAAAACATTTATTCCTAACAAGATACTAATTTGGCACAGTTGTGTTCTGCCTGCAAAAGCTATATTTGTGACAGAAACATTTAAAAATAAAATCATAAATGTCTAGCTCTGTCTCATTTTTGTTTTCATCCTCAATTATCAGTATATTAAAGCTTTAAATCACATCAAGATTTCCCATTGTACTACAATAAATGTCATAACAGAATGTGAAGATTGTGTGATATGAAATACTGACGTTTGCCCCACCAATTGTAACAAGGGACTATTTGTGAAAAACACCTGTGCACACACTCCTCACATACATTATTTCATACACCATAGTGTTTCATAAATCTATTGTATGGGTTTTACTTTTTAGGCAAAATCCCCCCAACCCTGTGTTTTTAATGGAGTGAGTAAAGAGAATGACATTCAGAGATGAGAGTCAGTCAGAGTGAAATTATCACAGCACTCCACAGCTCCATTATCTCTGCACCAGTAATTTTCCTGCACTCAAAGCTCTGCTACCTGTTTAAATTAGGAGAGTTGAAGCCTGTAATGTTCATCACATAATTTAGTTCCAGGAAGTCAATCAGTTCAAACCAGATGAGGCTCAAAATTAGCTACACCAAACTTTACATACAAGTTTAGCTGCCATGAAATGAGGATGCTATTCTATGGAGAGGTTTCATAGTTACATAAAGAGTGCCACCGTCTTGTCTTGTGAGCTGTGTATATAAACCATTAAAATTAGATGCCCTTTAAGTAAGTACATTCCACGTTTTGGTAAACTAAAGATTTGTGTAAGCATACACCATGGCCATCAACTTTAACAAACTTATTTTACAGCCATAATTTCTTCCATTCATTTACCTGCCAAGAACTAGCCTATAGCTTTACCAACCAAAAGTCAAAATATGATTGCCCTACAAAGGCAAATAACAAACTACAGAAACACTTAGGAAAAAAGGTTGAAGGTTTTCAGGTTGGCTGGCAAACAGGGTGACTGAGAATAGAAAGGAGGTAATGCCTTAATTTTATGGTGTTTTGCTTTTGGACAATCTTCATGAAGACATTAAACATAACCTATCTCTGTTTTACAATGTGTCTGTCCATACTATTAATGTTTATTGAAACCAACCAATATAATGAATTCATTTACCACGACAGCTATTTCTACTCTACTAAACTGGGTAGCGTTAGCATGACTTTAGCTGGGTCAACGTTTGATGAAATTTTTCAAAATTTCAAAAATTTAATTTTAACGCTGTCTCATTTAATTATGTGTAATAACAAACTGGATTACTAAATTAATACAAATGGGTATTTTTCAGTAAAAAAATGACAAAAATAATCTGTAAATACATTTAATTTCAGCTTTGGCTAGGCTAGCTGTGGCTAGCTCACCAGCTAGCTTTAACTTGTAGTGGCTCTCTTGCTTTAGCTGTCGTGTTAGCTGTCTGTCTGATGGCAGTAAGTGTGACAGCGGCTTCTAGACGAGCAAAACATTACCAAATCTCAGAGCAGTCACACCAGTTTGGGTTTTAGCTTGGTTTTTCTGTTACACCTTGTTGTTACAGAATTTCTATGCTTTTACACACCATAGTGTTACACATTTTGTAGGGCGGATTAGTCCAAATTGCCCTTCAAAATGAAGTAGTGTATGTTCAAAACTTTGAGCCTTTTGGCCACCATACACTTCCTGTTGCTGTTGTTTTACCTTGTTAATGAAATAATTCTCTGTGTGGTGTGATCTGTATTTCCTGAAAGAAGGGTTAAATGGGGATGCTCTTTCCTCGATATAAACATTTAAAAGAACATATAGATAATATATATGGGCTGACATTCATTGGTCACAGTGATGCACAGGTAAAGCAGGCAGTGCGTTTACATGGACATGAACAACCTGTTTATGTTAAGGTTTTTTGGAGTAATCCACTTAAAGGGATAGTGCACCCAAAAATGAAAATTCAGCCATTATCTACTCACCCATATGCCGACGGAGGCTCAGGTGAAGTTTTAGAATCCTCACCTCCCTTGCGGAGATCGGTGGGGGCAGCGGCTAGCACACCTAATGGCATATGGCGCCCCAGACTAACATCCAAGAACACAAAATTGAAACCACAAAATATCTCCAAAATATCTCCAACATGCTCATCCGCACAGAGAAGCAGTCAGAGCTACAGGCTACAGTGAGGCTAAAAACAGAGTTCAAATGACGTTTTTCAAAACAACTTTTTATGTCGGGGCTTCAGGACACTTGGATCACTACAGATGAGCAGTATGGAGATATTTTGTGGTTTCAATTTTGTGTTCTTGGAGGTTAGTCAGGGGCGCCGTATGCCATTAGGTATGCTAGCCGCTCCGCCCGCCGATCTCAGCAAGGGATGTGAGGACTCTAAAACTTCACCTGAGCCTCCGTCGCCATATGGGTGAGTAGATAATGGCTGAATTTTCATTTTTGGGTGCACTATCCCTGTGTTTCAGCATATAAACCCCATATTCCCTTTATGAGAAACCTAAATATGCTAGCTGGAGTTCTCTGAAAGAAACTGGGATGTATACAAGGAATATCAATATTTTCTATTTCCTATTTCTCCGTGCTAATGTTATGCCATATCCCGAATATGATCATAAGTGGGATAAGCCTCATGAATGGGTTATTGATGTCCATCTAATTGCAGCCATTCAGAGGCAGTGGATTGACCAAACATGCAGCTCTGCATTTGTAATATGAAAATAACAGGTTTAGGATTTGCAACTCACTCCATTTAAACAGAAAATTATAATAACAAGGCAAAGAATAAAAACAATAACTGAAGCACATAAGTGGACTCATTACAGAATGACACCATGATATAAATAACTTTTTTTTCATCAGTTCATACAAGTCCAAAAACTGGAGCTGTTACTGTACTCTGTACTGTGTGTGTGTGTGTGTGGAACATCACATGCTTTTTAAGTGCTTTTCAGATAATTTGGAGCTACATACACTGCCCAATCAGCTACACTTTATTTTAAAAACTCACCCGCAGCCTCTCTGTTTTTCAGTCTTCTGTCCTTCTGTCTACACATAAGTAAGTGTCGTGTTTGGCACCACAACTATCACCACTCTGTTTTCTCCATTCAGATGTTAGTGGTCTCCGAGTTGTAGAGCATGTCTACCTCCCCGTTGCTGCATGTCTTCTGCTGCCCGTTGGCTTTCTGCTGTACCTGGGACAGGAAGTGGCTGTCTTCATTTCGTTCGGACAGTGCAGCAGTGGGATGCTCCATGCTGATGGTGGCACGGCTAGTTTCGGTAATGGAGGAGTTGTTGTGGTAGCTAAAGTTGTTGATCGGTGTGTCTCCCCAGCCGTTTTTACCCCAGGCTGACTTCCACTGAGCCCACTTCCTCTTCAGCGCTGTCTGGGCCTGAATGTCAACAATGAATGTCAAGTGAGAATTTAAATAAAGTCATCAATATTTTATTTGATTTCTTTTCCAAACTAATGTGATTGTATTTTTTTAGAGTTAAGTTTAGTAAGACTGAGATTTCAGTTCATTATCTGGGCCATAACTGAGTCCCAACAGTTTTAAGTATCATTAAAACATGAAATGTGAAGGTTTTAACGTACCTCAGCATTGCAGAAACAGAATATAATTGCCACCAGGAGTCCCTGCAAAGCAATAGGACATTGTTTAAATATTCATACAGGAACAGATGTCAGTGAGATTATCCTGTAAATAATAAATGTAAATGAATCATCATGGTTTACAAATGAGGGTACACAATCTTTTTCTTTAATTGCTGTGAATTCAGAACTGGCAATCAGAAGCCTTAGCCTAGTAATAGCACTTGTTTATTCTAATACACTACCATACTTTGCAGTGTAGTGGAAACTGTTGAAAGTAGTCCTTCGCTTGATGTTGTTGCTCAATGAAAATGGAAGGAGTTTAATGACATTTAATACCATGAAAAGCCTTCATGCCAAGTACCAACAGAAAATGTAAAATCTTATATGCAGAGATGTATTCCTGTGGAAAAACTTGCAGATTATAAGTGTAAAATTGGTTATAGTGAGTTTGTTTAACACATTTGAACGAGTCTGTGGCTAGCAGCAGCAACAGCCTTTTGTTCGAACTTTAATGTGCAGTTAATTGTTGACTGTACCTGGAAATGGCTGAAGATATGTGTGACGAACTCAAAGATGGCCCGGCTGATGCGTCCTTCTGGCCTCCAGGGGAAGAGGATGAACTGGACTCCCAGCAAAGGGATGAGGATGAGGGTGGCTCTGACCGCCTTCATGTAGGCTGTGGACTCAGCACAGTGGGTCTCTTTTAACTTGGTGATTAGAACCCGGACGATGTTCAGGAGGAAGAAAAAGTTCACCTGGATATATTGGTGGTTGATGACATAAGAGTGGAAGAGACGGGAAAGACAGAGATTTATGACATTCAGTATTTGACTTGACTAATCCTACAGGGAAGGGACATTTTTTACATATTATCTAAAGAATGGCAATGACTGGCCTGATGGTGGCACTATAACACCTCTAAATAACAAGCTCATGGACGTAACCCTCCTATAACCTCCTTTCCCTTGTCATTCAAATGGTGAAAGCACATTACCATTTTGATGAAATTTTATTTCACTTTCCTGACAAAAGTGATGGTAAATAACTTAAAAGCAAAAAAAAAAAAACAACCCCAAATGTGGATGTTATATGTTTATATGTACTTATATGTATGTTGCCCCATTGTTGTACCATTACAAAGTTATTACAGTAAATCAAATGAAACTACCACAAACTAAGGTCAAAAATGTTTAACTGCTTTCACATTCTGCTGCATATTAATATCAGTACTGTCTGGTATTTTGTTTCTGATGAACAGACCTGCCAATAAAGGCAGTAAATGAGAAACTGGTTAATAATTGCTGGTAGTGTTTTTGAATTGACTGCATATTTGCATCTACTGTATACCACAGAGTATTTACATTATGAGTTTCAGCTCTAAGTACTCTACCACTCTGCCTTTTGTTGTTATTAAGTGTTAGAAAAGCAGTTTTGTAGGTTGTCTTTGAACAAACAAGATAAAATCTATTTATAATAATAGTAATAACTGTGTGTATACAGTCACCGGCCACTTCATTAGGTACACCTTGCTGGTACCAGGTTGGACCCGTTTTGCCTTCAGAACTGCCTTAATTCTTGGTGGCATAGATTCAACAAAGTGCTGGAGACATTCCTCAGAGATTTAATTCCATATTGACATGATAGCATCACACAGTTGCTGCAGATTTGTCGGCCATGATGAGAATCTCCCGTTCCACCACATCCCAAAGGTGCTCTATTGGATTGAGATCTGGTGATTGTGGAGGCCATTGGAGTACAGTGAACTTATTGTCATGTTCAAGAAACCAGTTTGAGATGATTTGAGCTTTGTGACATGGTGTGTTATCCTGCTGGAAGTAGCCATCAGAAGATGGGTACACTGTGGTCATAAAGGGATGGACACGGTCAGTAACAATACTCAGGTAGACTATGGTGTTTAAACAATGCTCAGTTGGTGCTAAGGGGCCCAACGTGTGCCAAGAAAATATCCCCCACACAATTACACCACCACCACCAGCCTGATCCATTGATACAAGGCAGGATGGATCCATGCTTTCATGTTGTTTACGATAAGTTCTGACCCTACCATCTGAATGTCACAGCAGAAATCAAGACTAGACCCTAAAGATGGTTGTGTGTGAAAATCCCAGTAGATCAGCAGTTTCTGAAATACTCAGACTGGCCCGTCTGGCACCAACAACCATTCCACATTCAAAGTCACTTAAATCACCTTTCTTCTCCACTCTGATACTCGAACTTTGAACTTCAGCAGTTCGTCCTGACCATGTCTACATGCCTAAATGCATTGAATTGCTGCCACATGATTTAGCTGAATAGCTATTTGTCTTAACAAGCAGTTGAACAGGTGTACCTAATAAAGTGGCTGTTGAATGTATGTAAAGTATGCCTTTATTGATTACTCACAAGCAGTGCAGCTTGAATGGGCCCATGAGTAATATAGATCAGGTGTGTGTGTGAGCTGATCCAACACCTGAAACAAATGCAGAAAACAAGAAAACCTGAATTACACTTTTCCACCACCAGTGAGCTTTCACATGCACAGTGACATAAGTAAACTGGAAGACTTAAAGGGGACCTGTTATGCTTTTTCTATATTTTCTGTCACATATAATTTTAAAGTGTTGGATGTGGCAAAATGTGGCAAAAGTTTCAAATAATGAGGTAAACCTATGTAAAAGTGATCCCTTGGAGCAAAAATGTCAGGCTTCAGACCGTTCTGAATGCTCTGTTTCCGTTTCTTTTCTACTTTTGAGAACAGCTGATGTCAGCTTGTGACAAATTTCTTTATATAGTCATCTACTTAAATCAAATTACTGCAAGTGTTATTATTACATACACTGCTACACACAGCTACATGCTAACATCAGGGAAACACGTAATCTTGGTTGCTGATATTGTTATTTTTCCCCTGATTTCAGATCATATTCCTGCTGGAACTTGTGAAGATTTTGGTTTAGAAGCTTTTATTGCTGATTTCCCGCTGCAGAAAGTGCAGCTTTTCTCCATCATAGTCACTCTCGCAGCTGCATTGAGGTGCAGAGACGCCAAGATAAGACCCGCAAACTCTGACCAATCAGAGCAGACAGGGCTTTTATAGAAGGGGGGACTTAAAGAGACAGATGCTAAAATGGAGCGTTTCACACAGAGGGTGAATACAGGTGTTTCAGCACAGACAGTTTGAGGAAAATAAAGTGTTTTTTTCAAACATTAATGCGTGTAAACGTGTTCTAGTAGAAACCCAAATTACAACCATGACCCTGGAAATGAGCAACAAAGGTCCTCTTTAATGAAAGCCTGAATCAATCCTCAGTAGTGCTAGAGTCAGCAAACAAAGGGCTCATGCAAATACCACTTGATGAGACAAATCAATATCTTACAGAGCTGAGAGAAAGAGAAGGAGAAACTCCAGCCTGTAGATATGCTTCAGTAAACTGCATATGGCAACATTTTGGCCTTGATCTGGACTTGTGCTTTACAGTTGTGACAATAGAAAAACAAAATCTTACTTGTCGTCATAGTAGAGCCCACGAGCCACAGCATACGTGATGGCAGGAATGATAGGAAAACCTTTGGACAGAGAGAGAGGAACACAGACAGAAATATCAGACTGACATCCTGAATCTCTACAGAGGCTTCTGCTGTTACGTCATATTATTAAAACATATTGTGTAAAGTAATACAGTACCTTCTTATGTTAATAGAACAGATCAGCTTTAAGTGTTTCATGTAAAGACAACAGCTTTTAGTCATGTAGTATTTTTGAGTAACTTAGTTTGACATTTTGGGAAATATTTGTATTCACTTTCTTGAATATGAGGCTGGAACCAAGAGATGGTTAGCTTAGTTTTGCATAAAGACTGCATACGGGGGAAACAGCTAGCCTGGCTCTATTTAAAAGTAACTAAATCCAACTAACAGCACCTCCAAGACTCACAAATTCACACCTTATATGTAATATAGTATTCAACTCATACAAATCCCAACTGCAAAAACAGTTTGTTATTTTACAGGTGTATTTTTTTTTCTTCTTCTTCACTCTTTGTGCAGCTTAAACAAACCAGACACGTTGTTTCTAGCGCCAAGATAACCAGCTGGTGGCTGTAGCTTCATATTTGTTGCACAGGCATGACAGTGGTATTGTTTTTCTTCAAGTCTTCCGACCCATATGACCACATATGTCATTTGTTCATACCCTCTAATTTGACCCACATGAGCGTTTACTAAATTAGTAAGGTTAGGTTTAGGAAAAGAATCATGGTTGGACGTCGTCACATTATCTACATAACATGAGCATGTAGCGTGATGATACATAACTCAAAATAACTCAATGCTGACTTTTGGTTTCACACAGGGGACAAACAGCAATCTCCTGAGTCAAAGTCCTGTGTTTTTTGACCAATCCATTCACCCTGACAGCCTCTCTACGCAGACTTTGTTGCTTGTTATACTGAAGTTGGGTTGATTTCCAGTTTTACCGGTCTGGTTCAGTGTACGAGCTTAAACCAGTTTAATTTTATGCAAACTAGCTGAACCGACATTTGTCATTATGACATGCTCTTGTGGCTCTGCTGATCGGTGTCCCATAACTATACGCCAGGTTAACCCTTGGATGGTGTAGGTGCTTCACAACTGCTCGCCCGTCTGCGTGTGGAGGTGTGTATGTCTGACGAGTAAGCTATACTAATCATATGCCACAAATCGGTCCTGCTCGCGCAGCATTGTGTGCTTTTTTGTTTGTTTTTTTTTGCTGTATAAAACTACAGTAAAAGTTTTCTGTGGAAGCTGTGTTTTTGATCCCTGTGCATCTCTTCTGTATTCTGGTGTTGTTTTTGCCGCTCGATGCTGCGATTGGTCGCCTTTGCCGTTGTCATCAGACGTATCAGCCGGTGAACTACTGCCTGGAATTACATACACACATGCTTGAAACAATCAAGCAAAATGCCACCAAAAAAACCTATGATTACGGAGGAGGAGTTGGAGGACATAAAGCGGTCGCTCAACTTCATGTCAGGAGAAATTTCAAACATTGCCACTTAACAGAAACTGCTACTGGACATGATGGGACAGATCAAAGATCTGCAAAAACCAAATGTTGAAAAAGACAAAAAGATAGCAGTATTGGAGTCTCGGGTGGCAGATCTTGAACAGTACACTCGCATGAATGACCTGATTATCAGCGGGCTGGAGACCAGACCCAGGTCATATGCGAGAGCTGCTGCAACTGTGAGTTGGGAGCCCACCGAGGCATATTTGGACTCAATAGAACAACAGGTTATCATCTTCTTTGATAGCAAAGGAATAACTGTGAACAGTAAAGACATTGAGGCCTGTCATCCTCTAAATTTTACTAATGCTTGACTTATTATGCTGATCTGTTCTGTACGACATCTATTGCAAGTCTGTCTGTCCTGGAAGAGGGATCCCTCCTAAGTTGCTCTTCCTGAAGTTTCTACCGTTTTTTTCCCCTGTTAAAGGGAGTTTTTCCTTATCTGCTGCCAGGGTCATAAGGACAGAGGGATGTCGTATGCTGTAAAGCCCTCTGAGGCAAATTGTGATTTGTGATATTGGGCTTTATAAATAAAATTGAACTGAATTGAAGTTGTAGTTACGCATATGTAAGGGTGAATGATAGACTGTCTGCAAGTCGTCACTACAGTCTATGATTCAGATCAATCCCTCACTTACTCACAGCTCCACCCCCTCATCCAAATATGGTCACTTCTGGCTCCAAAAAAAACAAGATGGCGACGGCTGAGATGCCAAACTAGAACTAGAACAAGAACAAGAATCCACAAACCAGTGGGTAGCTACGTCCATTATTTTACACAGTCTATAGTCATAATAAGCTGCTTGTAAAAACAACCTATTGTATTGTTCTTTGGGGGTGGACTGTCTGGAATAAGCATGTTTCTGAAAAAGTTGAACATTCCTTTGAAGCAACTTATTCAACCAAAGTGGGTAAAATACATTTTCATGTAAGTTTAGAAAGTTTACAGGTACTGTACCGGCAGCAAAAGAAGTGAGGTCAAAGTGAAGGTGGCACATAGGACATGTGTCATGCTCATTACAGGCATGTTATACATAGATATAAAAAAGATGTGAGCTGTAGAGACATAAAAAAATCCATCATTAACATATAAGAGCTGGATGCCTGGATGAGAGCTGAAGTGAAAGCCCATTTATCGAAGCACAGATACATTCAGGTTTCAAGGTTACATTCTTGTGAATTATAGTCACAGATTACTGATGCTCACATATATTCAGGTGCACTTATGATTAAATGAGTTTTTTTGGCACTTGAAGTTGGAAGACTTCACAGTACTGTTAACTTTGAAAACAGTGTCTGGATAATGCAGTACCTCCACATGGGCTGCTCATAATGTAAAATGGGTCAAACAAAACTAAAAAAAGAAATAGAGGAAATAAACACAGAGGAAATCCAAAAAAAGCTTATTTTTACAAAGCAACGATATTATGAGGCAGGGGGAAAATCACTGAAACTCCTATCACAGAGTTTAAGAAAACAGAAAGCAGACAGAACTATTCACAAAAGAAGAAACCCCACAACAAATGAAACAGAAACTAGCCTGGAGAAAATTAAACAGTGCTTCCAAAAATACTATAAAATATTATATTCCCAAGCGCATACAAATGATGACCCCCAAATTGATGCCTTTTTGTCCCAGATACATCTTCCAAAGATCACTGACAAACAAAACGTAAAATTAATATCTAAAATAACAAGAGAAGAAATCCAATTAGCAATAGGGAGAATGAAAGCGGGGGAAGTCCCCCGGGACCAATGGTTTTCCCACAGAATGGTACAAAACAATGCAAGATCAACTAATTCCAACATTATTAAAAACGTTCAATTGGGTTTTGGAAAACAAACCCAGGATGAATATTCTCCCACAGATGCTGTATCTCTTTCAGTGTCTACCAGTCAAAATACCACCTCAAACATTTGTAGAATGGGGCAGATTAATAGCAAGATATCTGCGGCAGGGGATAAGGACCAGAATTAAATTTAAAACCCTGCAATTAAGAAAAGAAAAGGGGGGAATGGGCCTTCCCTGCTTACACGAATACTACTATGCAGCCCAGCTGAGGCCTTTGGTCTGCCTGTGTTCACCAACATACGCTGCAGCATGGAAGGAAATAGAAGGCACGATGATAAAAGGAATCCCAATAACAGCCCGACTAAGTGACAACAAATTACAGGGAGAACAGGAGATCCCAGAAGACTCAATAACAGGCAGTTTTCTGAAGCCCTGGCAGGTAATAGTTAAAATCTGCAGATTAAGAGATGCATCCAAAATTATGAGCTGGTGTGTTTATGATACAGACTTTGCACCAAACAGAACCGATGGCAGATTTAAGATATGAATCTCAAAAGGTTTGACCACCTATTATTCATTTGTCCATGAGGGGACATTTCAGAGTTTTGAAGCCCTACAGAAGGATCATGGATTGGGAAGAGAGGATGTTTTTTTAGATACCTGCAAGTGAGACATTATTTTAACAAAAATCTGAAAGAGGTTTCAGGAAAGGGTAAATCAGGGATCATGGAGGTGTTTTTATCATTTATTAAGCCTAGATCATGCAATAAAATTATCTCTAAATGATATAATACCGGGCAGCATGGTGGTTAGCACTGTCGCCTCACAGCAAGAGGGTTCCTGGTTCGATCCCGGGTATGGGAGCCCCTCTGTGCGGAGCCTGCATGCTCTCCCCGTGTCAGCGTGGATTTTCTCCAGGTACTCCAGCTTCCTCCCACAGTCCAAAGATGCATGACTGGGGATAGGTTAATTAGTGACTCTAAATTGTCCGTAGGTGTGAATGGTTGTCTGTCTCTATGTGTCAGCCCTGCCATAGTCTGGCAACCTGTCCAGGGTGTACCCTGCCTCTCGCCCGATGTCAGCTGGGATAGGCTCCAGCCCCCCCGCAACTCTCAAGAGGATAAGCGGTTAGAAAATGGATGGATGGATGGATGGATGATATAACCATACAGTTATCCAAATAAGAGAGTACAGAATACATAAAGAAGAGGTGGGAAAAGGAAGGACAATATTGATCACGCTGAAGAGCTGGGAAAAAATATGTCAGCTACAATGGTTCTCAACCAGGTTGAACACATAGTGGGAGCTATTGTGAGATTTTTTGTCACACCCATTCAGACGCCACACCAAGGCAGCAGGAATGATTGTTGGAGATTTTGTGGGTCAAATGAGGCCAACCACTTTTATATATTTTTAGATTGCCAGGTGATAAGGATTTACTTGGAGGAGATCCACAAACACAAAAAATATCGTATCCTTCTGACTCACCCCATCCCAGGACATAGTACCAGAAGAGCTGTTGTTCCCCCACAAACACTGCCACTATGATGAGTGTGTGGAGGTAGATGCCTTCACACAGCATCCAGAAGTAGTTGGAAGTGGACGTGTACTGAGTCAGCGTAGCCAGGACCTTACAGCTTACCTGACGGACAGGAAATGGTAAGACATGATGAATTCGATTTTTGTCCATAAGGAAAATAATTCGTAACAGAAACCCACCCACAATTTGAGTGATGTACTAAGATATGGACTTTAATGCATAATGAGCACACCATTAAATTATGTGTGGGCCATTTTTTAACATAGGGAAATAAGCCAAGTGAAATGAAATTCATTTGTGTAATGGGATGAAATATAAATAAAACATAAATTTGGTGGCTCACAGGGTGGCTGGTGTTTATGCCTTGGTCAGTGACCATAGTGAGCGTAAGCCATATTACAGTAACAATGGAGTTTAAGATGAAGGAGAGAAACGTGTTCTTGTGGAGGGAGATTCTCTGGCAGCTAAGACTCCTGAAAGAGAGAAACAGAAAGAGAGAAGGTAGGGATATATTAGATTTTTAAAAGTTTTTACAAACATTTTTAAACTGAAATTGCTATAGCTGATATTCTGTGCCAGAATTCAATAAGGAGGTGGCTGAGCCGGCAGTTAGCAGCTAATGGTGGTAATAACATGAACTGTGCTAACAACAGCAACAGTGCTGACAGGCTTTAGGTTTTCACTACAACACCTCAGTGTTGCAGAGGTATGAGCACTGTAGGAGCGCTAGGGTTGGTTCTGAACTCAGTACTTCTAAGAACATGTTGTTAACAATTCACGTTAAATCCATAGATGCCAAAAGTCGGTACCTGAGAGCGCAGCTGGGTGAGAATGCTAGGGTTTAGACAACAAGCTGAAGCATGGTAGCTAGCCAAGAAGCTCTGAGACCAGCAACAGAGCTCTGAGTGAGAGATTGTAAAGTACTGAAAAAAGATACCAGTACTGAATTCAGGTACTGGAACCAGTAGTGCGTTGGCCATTGGCTAGTCAGTGGGATACACCCACAGGGACATGATGCACTAACTTGTGCTAAACTTGCAAACACTGCCGATCCATGTACAACAACAAAGAACAGAGAAGTTTAGATTACAACACACATAGAGGTAACTTGACTTCATCCTCTGCTCAGGACGCCATTGCCTCACTATATCTTTACATAGAAAAAAAAGGTTTGCTGCTTTATCAATGCTCTGAATGTATAGAACTCCTTTCAATTATTTATTTATTATTTACCTCCCACAGTTACATTCATTGGGATGGAAAAGCCTCTGCATTATGTGACACTAAAACTGATATCCAGCGCAGTTGTTTTATGTTATAAACATCAGCATTGTCTACTTATATTGGTCTACAATCAAGCAGCTTCAGCCATCATACACACACTGACACTGAAATAGGAAAGAAAAAGTCAGAGAGGTATATGAAGACTGTCGATGTTAAGTCAGACCAGACATTAAAAAAACCTTGACTCACTTGAAGTAGGAGAAGATGATGAGACAAATGATCAGGGAGACTATAGACAGGCCGTGACCCAACATGGCAAGGTAGTAGATACTGATGGCAAACTGCAAGGACAAAACATTTTATTCATAATAAATATACACCAATTCTCCACTTGTTAAGAACGCACATATTTTAAGTTCACAAGCGAGACCAGCAGAGTAAAGCACTTGCAGTGTTTACATAGTTTGCATCTATACAGTATCAACAGCTCAAACACCTCTTTGACAAAAGCAAAGGACACATCTGTAGGGAATATGAGCTTTTTGGGGAAATACAGAGAAGCAAATGTTTCCTGAAAGGCCATGAAGTCAGATGCACTGAAGAAAATGATCACGGTGCTGGCCAAATATCATGGCAAAAAATGAGATTCATGGAATACCGTCTGAGACAATGTTTTCAATTACCATTCCTACAGAAATATCTGCGTGCAGCGCTGTAAGCTTCGCCACTCACCAAGTGGAACAAATCCTAAATGACTTGCATGTTTAGGTCAGCGTAGACTGTACTCGTAGACATGAGGTGGATTAAAAATGATTCATCCAACATAAAAAAAATAGAGACAGAGAATTCACAGTAGATTTGCATTTAAATCACAACTGCACAGAGACATAACTACATGTTAGATGAGTTTGAATTCCAAGGATGTAAAGCGGGGGGAAGAAATAATGTGTGCAGAAATCTCACGATCTGCTTCAAAGTTATAGAGTTTTTCTGTGATGCTAACAGTAATTTTGCATCTCCTAATTTGATCATATATAATAACCAATTTATACAAAAAAGTAGTGGAACGTAGTGGATTTTACTGATGGTATTTATGTCACTTGTTAGCTGCTGTTTACAGGCTCCAGTGTTCAGAACACACAAGTCAGTGAGTGAAGACTGCAGTTTACCCTTGGTTATGTTGTCATGCTCAGCTGTCCAGGCGCAAATAACTTTTGACTATCAGATATCAACGTCTGTCATAAACCCTTCTGGTGTTGTTTCCTGTAGCCGGTTCGGATTACAATTCCACATCGTGCCAAGCAAAAAAGGGGCACTGCTGCACTTTGCATTTCATTATTTCACAGGGCTCACCATAGGGTTTAGTGCAAAATAACCAATGTTGTAAAAGAAGTCAGTCATACAGGAACATTAATGAAATGATGCTGCATCTGACGGCGCTTTAACTTAATATCCATGACTAAATAAAAAATAAATAAATATATTATGCTGAATTTTAAAAATCTAATTGTGAACTCAAATGTTTGATTAATCTTTAAAGCTGCAGTCTATAAAGTTAACTTTTTGTCATGTTTACTGAAACTGTCACTTTATCCACACAACAAAAAATGAGACAGTTAATCTGTGAAAAAATCATATTCTTCTGCCTCCTCGTATTGCTTCTAATGACCTTACCAGATGTGAACGAAAACAACCAATCAGAGCCGAGGGGTCTCTAATGCAGCTTTAAATCATGTCAATTACTGCTGTCAAACTAGGCAGTGCTGATCAAATATGAACCAGGAATCTGTTACTGCATTGCCTATTTCTTATCTTAAATGTTTTCACAAACGTATTTCAGTGCACTGTTTAGCTGTAAATGAGAAAATTGGTCCGACTGGTGGGTGGTGCTTGATTTTTACTCAACTGTTTTCAACATGGCAGCCAGGTCACAGACGTTCTTATTTTACAGCTAAACAGTGTTTCTGAAAACATTTGAAGTGAGAAATAGTCAATGCAGTAGACATGATTGACAGCTGCTTTAGAGACTCCTTGGCTCCAATTGGCTGTTTTCGGTGCACCATGGTAGATTCTAGCACATGCCAATAGAGGCAGTAGGAGGAGGGACATGATTTTATTCACAGTATTCACAGACTATCTGTCTCATATACCACTGTCAAGATATAATGACAGTTTCAGCAAATACAAAAACAAAAAGCTATTTTCATACAAGTTACGAATTGTAGCTTTAAGCTTCCCCTGAGGAACTTCGTTATACTCAGCTCAGAAAAAAAAAATGCCACACCACTAGGTCAGCCACCCAGTGGTGTGGCATTTTATTTTTATGCCCATAACACAATATTGTTATTAGTTCTGTTAGACGTTGGATACTCACAGAGCAAACTTGCATACATTTGTAAATTTGTGTTGTGTTGCTATTTTGTTAGTCTAGGTCAGTGGTTCTCAAATGGTGTGCCGCGGCACAGTGGTGTGTTGTGATGCAAATCCAGGTGTGCCATGCGATTTTTTGATAACCACACATTACTACTGCAATATTCAAATGGGCCTATACAAAAAAGCATAACTCATTTTTTAATTGACTATATCAGTATGTTGTGCACACCCATTTCCTAATTAAGAGGCAACTTCTAGTTAAAAAAATGTAATTTGATTTAATGTAAAAAAAAAACTCCACTGGGGACCTATTTGTCACTGTTTGCTCATGGGAATTATTAGTGTGTGACATATCAAAAGCCCTGATTGGCAGCCAGTGTGAGGGATGATAACATTTATTACCTCCGCCAAGGAGGTTATGTTTTCGCCGGCGTTTGTCTGTCTGCAAAATAACTAGAAAAGTTCTGAAGGGATTTTGATGAAATTTTCAGGAAAGGTTGATAATGGGACAAGGAACAGATGATAAAATTCTGGTGGTGATCGGTTGAAGCAAAGTGGATAAAATAATAAAATGGCGGGAAATCCGAGCTGCTTGGCGGAGGAGTGCTCTAGTTGTCTTATGTCGTGATAAGAGTGATAACATGTTATAGAAGCTATTGTGCACAGATATATCCTTGGACACAAAAAGTTTGAAAACCATTGCTCTACCTGATAGCAATTTGCTAAAACCTGGTAAATGACATCTCTTCTTGTTTTATATAAGGTTAATGTTCTTTGTGCATTGTCCCAGTTCAAATCAAGAAACATACATATATACCTGAAGAGTATGTAGCCACTTGCCAGGGCTACAAGCCTCTTTTTTTTCTTGGTGACATTAATTTGGTCAAAGGAGCCGAGGTAAAACCTCTGAAATACACAGCAGTTTCACTGTATTGAGTTTTACCTTGCGTTTTTCTTTGGTGTAGAAGCTACACTGGGTGTAGTTTGTCCAGACTCTGTTGCTCTCTGGGTGGTGGAACCACTGGCCGTCAGGATTACACACTTTGGTGACCTTTTCTGTTGAAGACAACATTATAATTCACACAAGCTAAAACTAAAAGTGCACAATATAAACAGTTCCCTTTTGTATATGTGAATATGTGTGTGTGTTCTAAGTCCTTACCAGAAGGGTCAAAGTCAGAAAAGTATCCAGGACACATCTGCATGACAGTTCCTGGAGCTGTATCCCCCCAGCACAGCCAGCCGTCCCACGTACGGTTACAGTAAGTACCTACAGAGGGCAGTGTGAACATGACATTAAACTTGCAGAGCTTGCAGACAGTGGAAATTAGAGATGGGAATGTATGCATTAGCTTTTAAAATGACACTTGACACTAATGATACACTGCTTGCTGTAAGTGCAGTCTTTAGATATTAATTTAATCAGTCCCTTACAATCCCAAACAGGTGGTGGGCTAGAAAGGTTGTAGAAACATATAAGTGCTTGTCTCGGTGAACTTTTAAAAACAATAAAGTACAAGATTATACCATGGTACGTACCATTCATATATGTAAGAAATAATAGGCCAGGATAACATTTGCAACAACCTTTTGAGAAACAACGTAGCAGAAAGTCTACTGTAATTTGCTATCACTCAACACATAAACTATAACAGCTGTGTAATGAGTCTGTCCTGTCAGTGGCTCACATATCAACAGAGAATCATTAAGGTAGAGATCTTAAATTTTTAATCAACTTCCTGGCAGGATGAACTATGTAAATGATCTATTCAACATAAACAGTGCGTTACACTTATATAACCTATGTGTTTAAGTGCGACTGGCCCACGCAAAGCATGTCAACAATAGACGGAAACCTGACGGTACCAGGTTGTACTGCAGCATGCTGGGAAATGGAGCACAAAATAACATTTCAAAGGCAGTGAAAAACTAAGGTATACTGGGAAAGAGACAAAGGGCAAGTTTCCTTTCTTTCAGACTCACTTCCTCTCTCTCTCTCTCTCTCTCTCTCTCTCTCTTTCTCTCTCTCTCTCTCTCTCTCTTTGTGTATATCTAAAGTATATCTAACTCTGCACGTTAGAAATTATAGTCACTGAACATCATGCAGAGCAGAGGAGAAATGCACCAAATAACCTATTTTAAATAAACATATGTGACATCATTTGTGCTAACATGCTAATGTTCAGCAGGTCTAATGTTCATGGAACATGGGTGTCTGCGTCATAGTTTCCCAAAGTCTCTGTTTCCACAAAACGCAATCCCAGTTCTTTAAACTAAAACGGCGTCAGCAGCATTTTCAAAGGTCTCTGTTTTAAGGGGTTCCAAAACGCCAATGTGGTGTGGGCACGAGTTTTAAAATAAAAATGTATTAGTGTGGATGTAGCCTTATGTTTATCTGCCAACCGCCAGAAACAACGCATGTTAATACCATAAAGACATGTACGTTCCAGCTGGATGGCTGTCATCTGGTGAACTGTGAATGAAGTCATACTTCTACTGCTTTTATACACGTGATTATTGTCACATACATATACTATCAGATGTTAATATTTACTTTCAACATATTGTACCACAATAGCCAGAATCATAATTATAATATTATTACTTTCATTAATGTTGTTGTAAGCTATTAACATTATCGTCTGTCCTGCATCTCTCTCTCTCTCTGTCTCTCTTTCTGTCTCATTGTGTCATACGGATTACTGTTAATTTATTATGTTGATCTGTTCTGTACGACATCTATTGCACGTCTGTCCGTCCTGGAAGAGGGATCCCTCCTCAGTTGCTCTTCCTGAGGTTTCTACCGTTTTTTTTCCCCGTTAAAGGTTTTTTTGGGGGGAGTTTTTCCTTATCCGCTGCGAGGGTCATAAGGACAGAGGGATGTCGTATGCTGTAAAGCCCTGTGAGGCAAATTGTGATTTGTGATATTGGACTTTATAAATAAAATTGATTGAATTGAAATTGAACAGAAAAAAAAGGTTTTAAAGGTTTAACAGTTTTATCACCTTCTTCTGTACACGGCGGATCGTGGATTATCTTCAGGTAACACTCAAACTGAGCAGCCAGGATCTGGTTTCGGGACGCTCCTAGTACGGTGGATATGTCACTGAAGTTCTCCTCCTGCTCCTCCAACACTGCCTCTTCGACAGCAACCATGGACCCCACATCCTCACACTGGCACACCTGGGTGAAAATTCACACACTGTATATTAGAGATGTTAGAAAAATGAATGTCTCTTCCTGATATACGCTTTCTTGTTAGAGACTAGCAACAGTTGACAGAGGAAAATTGTGCATTACCATTGTAAGTTTTAATTGGAAAATAAAAAGGTATACTGAGAGAACAGCAAATGGGCTTCTATAAACACATGGAAGTGATAAACACTTGCAAATAGCCAGTAAAACATGCTCGGCTAAAACGTAATGTAAAGGTAGGACATTACTGGAGTATGGAAAGATTCAATACTGCGTGAAAACCTTAGTGTCAACATTCAGGGCGTTGAGAGTAATCAGCTATTCATATAGATTGAAAAGGAGAGACATCTACACACACTCACATGATCACACTCACCTCTGTGCCCAATGCCAGTGCAACTATCAGTGAGAGTGTCAGGGTCCTCCACATGTTTCTAAAAGAACAAGAACAAGGACAAAACAGTTATTAGACACTCTCATACCTGATCGCCAAGTAACCATATATTACTACATGTGAGAAGTTACTTATTCCAAAGCTGGGGTTCTTAGGATAAACAGAATATTCTATATATAACCTATAGTATTACACAAGTAAGATAGGATAAGAGTCTACAGCATGTATGTAAGAGAATAGGATACAGCATTGGAGCCCAGGCTTGGTTCATTCCTGTGAAAGTTGCTCAGTGGTTCCCCTTCTGGGTATAAAATTATCCGGATCTTTCTCATCCGTGGGCCCAAAGACCAAGCGCACTATTGTTCCCTTTAACCCTGCGCTTCCCTAGTGCATGGTCTCTGGGTCGCTCACATTATGAGAAACGGTAGGAAAATAACTCTGGACTCAGCTATTGGTGAATTTTGTATCTTTTGGGACATAATAATTTAGATACTGGCTATTTAAGTGTTCAAATTACCCACTGATTTACAGACCTCTCCAACAGTGTAAGTCTAAGGGAACATTTTTTGGGGCCCAGTGGCATCATACAAAGGACCTGGAAGTTGTAATTCAAAAGTTTGGCCATTATGTCACATTGGCTTCACGCCCAGCACTGCTCGATTATCCAATTCTGCTGTAGTGACCAATGGTTGGCCATGGTCCCCTGGGACCACTTTGCCTTGGGAGACGCTACAAGGGGCTATTAACCCTGGACAACACAGCTCCCAGGATCACGGGGACACACAAACCGCTCCACCACATTAAAGTGATGATTCTTGAAGGAGGAGCCGAGTGTGAATCAGTCCGGACGAAAATCAGCACCTCCAAGTCTGAGGCCATGGTTCTCTGCCAGAAAATGGTGGATTGCCCCCTGGGGTGGAAGGGAGTTACTGCCCCAAGCAAGGGAGTTCAAGTATCTCAGGGTCTTGTTCATAAGTGAGGGTAGAATGGAGTGTGAGATGGATTGGCACAGTGTCTGCAGTGATGCAGGCACTGCGCCAGACCGTCGTGGTAAAGAGAGAGCTGAGCCGAAAGGCGAAGCTTTTGATTTACTGGTCCATCTATGTCCCAAACCACACCTAGGGTCATGAGTTCTGGGTAGTGACCGAAAGAATGAGGTCACAGATACAAGCGGCCAAAATGAGTTTCCTCAAAAGGGTGGCTGGGCTCAGCGTTAGAGATAGGGTAAGGAGCTCAGACATCCGGAGGGAGCTCAGAGTAGAGCCGCTGCTCCTTTGCGGGAGCCTCCTGTTAGAGGTGTTCCCGGCTTCGGACAAGCGGTTACAAAAGGATGGATGGATGGTCTATGGCCATGCTAGCATTTCTGTGAGACTGTACTTCAGCCAGTCATTGTTTTGAGCTAAATGCTAATATCAGCACGGTAACACATACGCAGCAACAATGCTAACATGCTGATGCTAAGCAAGTATAAAGTTTTGTATATTCAGCGACTTAGTTTAGCATATGTATTTAACCCTGTCTCCTTTGAAAATAACGCTTGTATATTACCAAATTGCATTCATTATCATGTGACATAATCGCTTTCTGGATCACATAGTGTGCTCAATTCGCACGGAGGTGGTTGGGGTAGATGGTCGACTTACAAAGAGCAGGACTGTGACACCAGAAGCCCAGGTTCACATCTAGACTCCTGTCTTAGGTTTAGGGAAAAAAAAGTACTTTGGGTACGTTTAGGGAAAGACTGGGATCTTGGTTAAATGTTAATAAAAAAAGGTAATAATAAAAACAAAACTTTGCAGTTTCTGTGAGTGGATATTATATTGCAAGATTGTCTATTCTGGAGGAAAAACCAATTAAATATGTTGTCAGTGAACCTTTTGCTGATCCACTCCATATAAACATTTTTTTTTCAGGCAGTTAGCAACATTTCCTCATTACGCTAATATATTTCCCTCAAAAACTTATTTGCTCTTTCATGTTAGCTGTATATACACAACATTTATAGGAGACAGGGCTGATGAACGACAATAACTTGTTTATTTTACAGAAAACAACGAATACCTATTCAGAGTAAAGGTCTATGACCTAATGTATGAGAGTCCCTGAAATAAATAAATTTGCTAATGCCTGTGGTGATTTAAATTCAAACAGTTTGTGAGAGTGCATGGTCTCACAAGCCTGCTAATGCATGTTTATTTACAGTAGCCGTGTATTTTCTCATCTATCAGGACAGGAAGTTCATGCTCTCCACTGCCCACTCAGGGTCAGAGTAACAGATATGTGTTTGTTATTATTTTGGGCAAAAGGTCAGCAAGCCCCCCCTTGTGTTTCCTCTGTAATGAGCCAAACAAGAGTAAAATAAACACAGTGTAAGGAGTCATAAGAGAGAGAGGTGACAATGGCAGAGTCTTTGAAAACCAATACATGCTACACAAAGTGTCTCTTTGGTGATAACATGATAGGGTTTTATTTATCTATGAGACAGACTACTGGCTACATAGTGCTTGGCAAGCTTGACATAACACCCTCAGCTGTTCAGTGCTCTTAACTTTGGTTTAAAATGCAATATAAAGTGGTCATTGTTGTCAATTATAATGTCAGATGCTCTTCTCAGCTGAATGCAGACTTGTGCTGACTTGTGCTGCAAGCTTTGGAGATGAAGGCAAAGGAGCCAACCAGCTTTAAAAGGTAGTAAACCTGACCCTTTCTTAGGAATGACTCCAAATGATGACCACTTCTCTAAAAAGCTGAATTTGTCTCCACAGCAGCAATTATGTGAATGTCCGTCATCCCCATTATTCTCCATGATTTATATTGTGCAAACGACATGTTCAATATTCAAAATCTATTAAAGGCTACAAAACATATCAACTGAATTACTTGCAAATGTATAAAATGGCGCACTTAAAAAAATATTATTGGGCCTGAATATTAAAGTAATTTAACATTATGAATCAGCAGGATTTAAAAAAAAAAAAAAAATTCTCAGTAACTGTGAAGGAAATGTAATTGGCATATTGGAAACATTAGGATTCAAGGGATTTAAGCCCAGTTTAAATGTGTGTAGCATTTAGGGGGATATATTGCCAGAAATAGAATATAATATTCATAACTAAGTTTTCATTAGTGTGTAATCATCTGAAACTAAGAATTGTTGTGTTTTCCTAACCTCAGAATGAGCTGGTAATATCCACATATGGAGCAGATTGGTTTGAGTAGCCCAGAGTGGCTCAAGATAGGGCTATTTGTGTTTTTGCAGTGGCCACCATAGTTTACACCCTTGGCACATGGAAGAAGTGTCAGTCTGTTGCAATCTGCAACCTTACCACTAGATGCCACTAAATCCCACACACCAGACCTTTAAAAGTAGTTACAGTTCAATTTTATACCAGAAAGCTCTTCTTTGAGTAGAGATGGAGATGTAAAGGAGAGAGAAATATGAGGTCAGGGCCAGGGGTGTAAGGGGTTTTGAGAACAACTGCTTCGAATAGAACCCATGGGATTAGACTTTCTTTTTTCCTCTCTATCTACTTGCTCATGTAGAGCAAGAGACACATGTGAGCATCATGACTGTTGACGAGCATATAGAGGGAAAAACAACATAGCCCAGATTTAACTGAAACAGAGCACTTTAATAAATTATGTTGCATAAGTTAATACATAAACAGTGATTTTGTGTAAAGGCTCATACCCAGAGCGAATGATGTGCAAAGGTTGCATTGAAGCAAGCTGTTTTGACTCAGCCCAAGACACAAAGGTAATTATTAAAACATTTGCAGTAAATAACTTTTTGGTGTTCAAGAATGTAATATTTATGTAGCTAACCTTTCAGTTATTGTCTGCAGTAACTCACATTTTGATGCTGGAAAGGTGCAGCGTGCGAACTATTGAAAATGGGTCTGATGAGTGCTAACTGATGCTGAGGTTTCTTCTGGCTGGATTTAAAAGTCTATGTAAACTTTACCAAGTACCACCATGAAGTAAAAAAAAAGGCTTAAAAGAATACTCTGATATTTAAGAAAATGAGAAGATAAGTAGACTATTTCCTTTCTGTGTGTCAGACGCTGTAGCTCCTGACTTGTTTAGCTTTAACGTTAGCTTGGCAAAAAGACCGGGAGCAGGAGGAACTGCTAGCCTAGCTCTGCCAAAGATTCTTTCAACAACTCTAACTCTGTCTTATTTACAAGTAGTTGCGATTGGATACAGAACAGCCTACCTGCCACAGTTCGAAGATGACAAAATCTGTATAACAGCACCTCTGACACTTTACAATTAGCATCTTGTTAGTTTACTCTATAGAGTTCTGCAGGGATGAAAGTTACATGTTGGCCAACACCGAAGTTAGTATCACCCTGTTTACCTTGCCAAAAAGTTTTTTTCAGCAAGATAATCTTCACAAATAAACAACACTTTTATGATTTTCGAAGCGTAAATGCAACAAAGCTGTGAAGCCGTGTTTGGCGTAATGACGTTCTCTAGTCTCATGTAGCCACTTGTTAGCAACCGTCTTTTTTAAGACATGTAAAGGCTTCAAAATTCACGAGTGGGGTTATTTATTGATATGTTTTATGTTGTGTAACAAAATGTGAACGTCTCTTAGGCTTGTGTTGACCACAGACCAAACACCTCTTTGAAAAAAACCTTGACTTTGAGACGAGGGAAGCAGGAATGCTAAAATGCTAACTCATTCCTCAGCACTCTATACAAAAACAATATAACCCCAGTGGTGTAGTGGTAGATGATGAAGTGGTTGTACTACTTGGTAGATAAGTAGGTTACTGATGAGGAAGTGGGCATACTCTCCTTTATTTTCCAATAGCTTTTTGGCTAATAGGTGGATATATTGTAACAGACAGAATAGAAGGTGGGTATACCCCCATATACCTGCATAAACCCTCCACGACACCACTGTATAACCCTGTGTAAAATTGAAACTGATTTTACACTTTGGTGTTTGTATGGAATAAAATGAGATATAACAAGTAAATTTGTGAGCTTTAGAGGTGCTGTTGGGTGAGTTTTGTTATCTTTGGACTGAGC